CTGGGATATGCACAGCTCACCATATGACTGTCTCATGTCGTGGACCACCAGGACAGAAGTAAACTGAAGACCTTCAGACCCCTGGCACTGAACTTCCCTTACAGAAGAGCCTCCCAGGCCATCACCCACATCCACCATCCATTTGTGTTTTGAGCAGCCATTCTCCTCACATCCTTAGCTCCAAGATCTTTGTAGATTTCAATATGTGAAGTATAGATCTGTCCTTATTTACAGCAAAAAACAAGTGACTGAATGTAAAACAACGTTTAATAAATCTGCAGAGCCTAAAGTACCAATATAATTCCGAGCAGGAAGATAGACATGCACTTCTTAATTAAGTGGGTGATGTTCTAGTTAAAACAAAAATACAACCCTGGGCCATAGCTAAGATTAAGCACATTCTCTTGCAAAGGAAGCTCTGACTATTATCGGTGTAAAGGCTTTAAATCACAAAAAATAAACCATCTAATAGTCTGTATTCAATAGTAAGTAGAAAGTCAGGACACAGACTGATTTGGATTAACACATTTTCAGTTATAACAAGTAATTTTACAGAGGATTAGTATCTTGATGGTCTGATCAATACTAGGCACTGCTGTTATTACAGATGAAGAGAAAATTACCCCTCCAGTAATAAAATGTGTGTCTCGGTTCTCCTTCATTTGCTGAGTCCATTACTGTAATGGTTCCAGCATTAGCAGCTGAGGCAATTTAAACAGCAGGAATGTGATGAATTTAAAAGCAAGAAACATTTGCCACTCATTCTTTCTTGTATTTTATTCTGCATATGCAAGGCTTCTACCTGACCATTTCCAATATACAAATCATGTGTTATGTGACTATCAACACTATTTCTTAATTATTGTCCCATTAATAATGGGAAGGTCCAATAATGAGATTACCACAAAAATTGCTACTGGCATATTGGTTGCTGATTCTGCTAAAACTTGCACACCATTTACCTAAGCAGAAATATGACATGACAAGAAGCTTATTTAAGTGCATCTAAGCTGTTTCATTAATTTTCCTAAATACAATTTCTAAAAGAATCTAATCTGTCAATTAGAAAATTTTGTTTTCTTTGGTTCTTTTTAATAATATTTTTTATCTAAAGAGGTAGAACAATCACCAGAAACAATAAATCATTGTAATATTAGAACAAACCATGGTAACAATGGTTAAAGTTTTTAAACTTCATTGTGTGGTACGGGCACCATCATTCAGCATTAATTCTAAAACCAAACCTTAATCATTCTTTGAAGTGCTTTGAGAATACTTGTCTAATTTTCCTTGAGCATTAATATGTTGAAGCAACCTGTTTTACCTTGTAAAGATGTATTATTTTGCAGGCAGCAAAAATGAGGATGATGCAGGAAATAAGACCTTCAATGATATCTCAGCCGAAACTCAGTATATTCCCTTTTTCTCCTTGTAAATAAAATACATACAAAGCCTTGTGTTATTTAAAGCTTTATGTTTCCCTGCCACTTTGTCCAACATGTCTCACAAATGTGATACTGCATATGAATATCTTTGTAAAAGCCCTTGTGAATATTCAGATATGTGCACATTGATGCATTTATTATTTGTACAGCAATAAATTTATTGGGCTGGGGTCCCAGCTGTGCTGGGAGCTGTACAAACGTAACAGTAGTGTCTGTGGAATACATTCTCTGCAGTCAGGATTCACAGTAATGTAAATTAGCATAAACAACTACATAAGGTAATTGTGAACTGGCTTTAGAGGTCTGTTCCAAAGACCCGTCAAGGCAATACCTTTACTTTAAAAGAAAATAATACTCCACACTAGCTGAGTATTCTCTCTTTCACCTGGTAATGGCACAGGGTGTTAACTTGCAAAGAGTGGTAGAGGAAGCATATACAGGAAATAACTACAACTTGGCCTCTCTCATACTGAAACTTACTTTAAAAAATCCATCTTGAATAAATAAGTCTCAAGAACATTAAGTCTTACATTAAATAATAACTTTTTAAACTCATAAATCAAGATAATAAACATTCTAAAAGCAAAAAGCTTTCTTCCCAAGCCTAAAAGGAGCAAATAGCCTACTTAGATCACCAAACAGGAAGTTTGTTTGGTTTCACTTTTCATGGTACATTTCTACACCCAATGAAAAAGAAGTGACCAACTCTGACCAACAGTGTAAAGCAAAAAAGACTCAAAATAACTATAAACTGTATTAAATAAGATGGAATTCTAAGCTAAAAGAAACAAGCATGAACAATCCCACAATAGACTGTTTCATAAAAATGCCTTTTCAGCTAATGAGCAACATCTAACAGTTCTGGTTTTATGCACAGAAGTAATATCTGCTATGGGGAAGACCAGAGTAGCTGATGGCTTGCAACAGCTCCAAAGGTATCTTTAGAAACGTCAGAGAAGTTGTGTTTTGGTGTCCACTTAAGACTCAGAGAAACATTCTACAGACATTAGCATGCCCCATGTGGTGTTTAGATGAGTAGTTGACTTCTGACTATGGTTTTCCTACTTTTCTTTCAGACCCTCTTCCCAGGAATGAATCTGCATCCTCCTCTCTTGACTTGGAACACCAAATACTAGCACAAACAATGTCATTTCTGATACACATTTAATCTTACTCAACCCAGCTGAGTGATCTGCAAAGTGGAAATTGCTGTATGACAGCACTGCACTCTACAGAACTTCTACCACATGTACTTGGAACACAAATGTCATTCTATAACAGCATAAATCAAAACTTGCTATATCCAAGAAAATTCGAGCCAGAGAAAAGTTTATCACATATAAGAAACATACTACATAATTACAAAGCAAAAGCCAGTCAGTGGGATTCTGACAGACAGCATTTAACTGTACACAATTACAGCAAAACAAGAACTTTTATTCAGGATTTAATTCTGGAAAACAAGAAACATTGCCAGAAGACACATAATCCAAACCAGCTTCTTTACCCAACCACTTCCCTCTCAGTAGTAGGCCTCATAAATCTTAGTCTCCAGAAGAGGTTGGGTTAACCTCACTAATATTTGGTTTGCTAAAAAAATATTTTAATCAGTACCTAAATGGAAGTCTTGGCAGAACTGCACAATAAAGACACTGTTCCTTTGTCTTCAGCATTTCTCAGGTGATCAACATAAGCTAGGGATGGCCAAACCCAAGGACTGAAGGGTGAGTTGACACCCTGCCAGGAGCCCAGAGATTACATCTCCAATTAAGTTGTAGAAAATAATCAGTATGAGGATGCTTCCATGGGGAAAAAACCCACTTATGTTCCTTCTAGCATATCCCCTCCTTTTCTCATTGCTGCTTTCTCCTTTGGCAGCCTTTATTCTAAGACATTCTACGGGCTCGTTTTGCTTCATTTTCAATATACTCAGCTTCTCTCAAGTAGTACCCAGCTTACCACATCCCTCTAAGGCATTCTGTAAGTATTGACACCTTTAAAGTCTCTGTAAGAATCTTTCATCTTTCTCTGTCTGTGCACCCACAACACTGAGCTGTGTCTATAGCAGTATTCTTGCACTTGACCTCAAGTTTTTCTCATACATTGTTCTTGACACCTCTTCAAGTGCCTTTCCTCCTAGAGCCTTTGCCAATTTCGTTCACAGCACCATCCTTTCACCTCCACAGGTATCCCTGAGCTATTATCTTATCAAGGGCCATTATTCTCCTAAAGCAAATGATTCCAAATACATTCAGGAAGATCCATTGACAAGACAAAGGCCCTTGGATGGGCAGCACAAATGAACAGGCTAAAAGAAGATTGGGTTGAGATTTTTTTCTGCAACTATTGGATGGGAAATCTGCATATGTTTTGACATACATGGAAAGGGCAGAACACAAATGGAACACTGAAATTGCTGTCCCTCAGCAACTTGGGATAGCAGACAGACAAATTACAAAATGACCAGGTAGTTCTTAAGGAGTTGTTATGAAACTTACTAAGGCAAAGAGGCCATGAAGTTTTCTAGTAAAATACTTAGTTGGAAACTTACATCAGACCTTTTCCCTCACTTTGCAGGGAATAGTATATTTAACACTGAATAGTAAATTACCAGCAATACCAAAACTAGCATGTTCCCTGTTCAGGTGTATGAGATTAGCATTTTCAAAGGCATTTTCTAAATTTATAATGGAATTAGCCTTCCTTTCACTAACACCTCTAATATCAGTACCGTGCTTTCAAACAAGTCACTTACTGGTTCTCAGTACTACTGTTTTGTAAACAAAATCAGCACAAGTACAACAACCATCAACAGCTGAAGTAAAATATTGTACAATGTAGTAAAACAAGCCTTTCAAAGGCACCTGAAACAGCAAACATTCAGCACTCCTGTTTGCTTCCACAGACAGTGAAATAGCATCTTCAGTGTAAGCATGTAACAGCATTGCATCTAAACACGAGAACAAGAAAAGAAACATTATAAAGTTCGGGCGGCATAAGAGACTTAAAAATATTTATTTAGGTCAGGCTTAGTGTAGAGTACTTTTAAATTTAAGAATGAGGCGCAGTTACACAGTGCATCATCCCACTGTGCATGTTTCGACAAACACAAACACACGGTCCTGGCATCATTTTCTTCATATACCACAGAACTCTCTTTTAAACTGCAATATCGTGCCCAGCTGGCACACGCCTTTCCCACCAGCTCCTGTTAACGCTGTACGAGGCGCCCCTCATTCAGGGGAGGGGGATCGGGCATTCCCAGCTCAAGCAGAGCCCCCAGCCCGGCGGAGCCCCCGGGGCGGTGCGGGGCGCACGCAGCCGTGCGGAGCTCACCCGGGCTCCGCCACCGCGCCGAGCCCGGGGCCGGGGCTCCCTCCTTCTCACAATGAACTTCACGGCGGCCTCGGAGTCCCCTCGCTCGGGGCTCCAGCACTGGAGCTACCGGAGCCCCGGGGGCTCTGCCCCGCACAGCCCCACGAGCGGCGGAGACGGCTGGCCAGGGGCACACACGCTCCTCGGGTTTGCGGGGAGCAGGAAGCAAACGGAAGGTACCTTCAGCTCTTTCTCCCGCTCCCCTGCTCTCCTCTTCATGGTGCCGCCTTAGCCGCCCGCCCGGAGCGGAGCAGCACCGCGGGGACCCCGCGCAGCTCCGCCGGCAGCGGCCGGACCGCGGCTCCGCGGGCAGTGCGCGGCCCCGCCCCGAACTTCAAGTCCCGGCAGGCCCAGGGCGGCCCGGAAGGGGAAGGGCCCGGTTGGCAGCGGCGGCAGCCGCTAACGGAGCGCTGAGGAGCCCGGGGCTGGCCGGGGCTGTGAGTACGGGGGAGCTTCTCCCCCTCTGGGCACGGCGCGGGGAGGAGCGGGGCGCTGGAGCTGCCCGCGGCTGTGGCGCCGCGTCCCGCAGCGGGCGGGCCCCGGCCGGGCTGGTGGCACCCGCGGGGCTGCGGGCGGCGGTTCCAGAGCCGAGAGGCTCCTCCTCGCTCGGTGCCCGTGGGAAGAGGCTGGAGCCTCAGCGTTTGGCTCAGAGTAGCCCTGTAGGCCTGTGTTCGTACCGGGAAGGGCCGCTGGGCTGAAGCGGGAGCTGGGCTCCTGTGCCCGAGGGAGCGCAGCCCGGCGGTGTCGGCGTTCCGCCAGGAGAGGCGGCGAGCGCTGCCTTCCCTGCGGGCCCTGCCCCTCCAGCCCCGCCAGCCACCGCCAGCGGCGCCGCTCAGGCAAAACTGAAAAGCTTTGTACAATAGGTTGGAGTCAAGACACGGTTGTTTGGATTTTTCTGTTTCGAAGTAGGACTTACAGGTCTGAGAGATGTTTCTTCCCTTAGGATGTTGTGATTCCATTTCCTAACATCTTCCATATCTTCTCTTTTTTTCCCTGTCCGTCTCCCAGAACACACAGCACTACAACACATGAAATTTGAAAGATGATATACGTGTGTATTTCTACCAGGTAATAAATGAGATTATTTTAAGTTACAAGACCAATAAAGTGCAAACATGTATATTGTAAAGACTCAATAGAGGGAGAACATAGGCTGGAAATACATTATGATAAGCTAAGATAGGTGGGTTGTCCCTCCCACCTCCTTTTTTAAATTCCATCTACAAAAGGATCATCTTGGCCATGTCTGACACTCAAATTCAAAAACCATGTTGAAACAATTAAGTTGTAATTCTTGTGATTTCACTAGAAACCCCCTCGCTGGAAGTCACCTATAGCCCCATTGGCTGAGAACTTTCAAAAGATTAAGGAATCCCCACTCAGTTTTACTACCTTTGAATGATGCTGGTACAAAAGCACACTTCTGTGAGTTTTATAAGAATCTGGACCTAAAGCATAAGCTTTGATAAGTATTAATTTTATTAGTGTCAGACGTGTATAACAGTGCAAAGTTGTGTGCAGTTTTGTGTAGTAGATTTTCAGATACAGGTAGTGAGTGATAGAACCACTTTTGTAGGTAGTGAAGTGTGTAACAGAGTTACAGTTTCTTTAACTTTAGTAGTTATATAGAAAATTCTTGCTTATACCTAGCCTGAAGTTCTCACAGGTTAATCCCTGAGATATGGGGAATATTCCTCTCTCTGTACACTGAGTTCTCTAGTTTTGAGAAACAATCTGTGCTGAAGTGATTTTAGGGTATCCTTTCTTGGAAATAAAGCCTGGTTTAAGTTTTTGAGGTCGAGGATGGCATGTGGATCTGTCCAGATGCAAATACAAATTTATATCTCTCTCACTTTGTTATGCTTTCTTTTAGGAAATGCTGCACTTTTAAGTACTATAACTTTTGTAGCAATGTTGCTGTACAGTTTTGTCAGATGTAATCTCTTTGGAAATGCTTTCAAAAGTAATACAGAATGCCATGGAGAAATCTCATATGCTTTTAGAAATAACGCTGGAACTGGACTGCAAGGAAAAGTAATTTTGTTTAAGTGTTTGTGATTGACACTCAGATAATATTCAAAGAGGAACTGTAACATATGTAACACACGCTTTGATGTTTGAAGTGTCCTCTCTCAAAGCAGCAGCAGAACTGGTGGTTATTAGTGATTATTAAAGACATGGGTATGTTACTAATCAGGCAACTAAGTTGCCAAGCCAAATTCTAAATCTGTAATTATATTTGGCCTCCTTAAAACCAGGAGACATGTTTGTACTATTTCTGTCTAAAACCACTGTATCTGATAAAACCAATTAATATGGTTGGTTTTTTCATTTTCTTTTTCTGTGGCCCAGGACAGAAAAGATAGCTGAATGCTTAATTTCTGACACTTTGTAATGGAAATGAAACAATTCTTTCTCTTCCTTTTGAAAATTTGACCTTCTAAGTTTCAGGACACTTTGGATTTGAAGTTGCTTTATTTTGTCACTTCAAATCACGTCAAGTTGCCAGTTAAAATTGGCTTTGTGTGCATCTCTGCTGTGTTAGTTTGCTTACAGCTCAAATATTTCTGTGGTTTTGCTGCAGCCAGTAATGGATTACAAAAGTTGTTTGTTTATTTGAGTGACAAGCATGTGTTGTTTTGTCTCTGGTTTAAAGTGAGTAGGTTTCTCTCATACTGAAGATAACAGGTAGGTATCCATAGTAAAGTTTCTTCAGCAAATAGTGAAAGCCAGTAATGTTTGTCTGTACCTGTTACTGTTCTGGAGGTTTTGAAGCCTGATTTTGATAGATCACAAACGTTGTGGAGTCATGCTGATAAAATACTTGTTTAGCTCTTGAGGCTCAAAAAAGCCTCTGTCATTTTTGATTTGTGAAAGCAAGGACAGTCACATTCTAGAAAGATGTACAGTGGTATCTTCTCCTTGCTACCATCATGAACCAAATTTAGCTGATCCTCTGGAGGTAAAATGTCTGTTTCCCCTTGATCTCAGTTGCTGTAGCTGTACTGGTACAGCATAATGGCAACCACAAAAAATGAGCCTAGACCTGAGTGAAGCCAATGACTGCAGACAGAGCTAATTAACAAATTTCAAAGAAGTTTTGAGGATTTTTTAAGAGCAATGCTAAAAGAGCCAAGGGTGCTGAGGAACTGAATTCCAGTGGATCTGTGTCTGTACTGGTTGCCAGTTGTGCCATTGGCTGAGTGGTGTGGACATCAACATCCCAGAGTAGCACTCTCTGTCACTGACAACATTGAAACTGCAACCATATTGCAAGTCTACAACTGTAGATCAGTTCACTTCTATGGTCATGATAAGGAAACATTTGTTCCACATGGAAGAAAAATGTGTTCCTGTTTATTCATAAACAGTGAAGTCTGGAAATAATATTTTATCATAAATTTTAGTGATGAAAAAACCAAAAGATTAAAAGCAAGACTGACTTGTTGGAAACTAAATTTCCATTAATCCCTTTTGTTTCTTTAGAACAAAGCCATAAGGAGAGTTATTTATGAGGGAAGAAAAAGCTTAGGCAGCACTTCTGATTATGATTGAATTAACAGATATTTCATGGGCTGTCTGTTGACTGTGCCATGTCTCTTCTGCCCTCTGATGCAAGTCTCCAGTAGCATCACTGTTAATTTCCCAGTGCTTTCCTAGATGGTTCTGGATTGACTGAGGATTTTTATCACCTGAAGGACGTAACAATGGTTTTGGGGATAAGACTGTCAAAAGGACTTCATGTCTCTCCTTTTCCTGTTGTTTCAGCATTACTTGACTCTGTGACCAACATGTAATTTTCTGCTCCAGAAGAAAAGAAAGAAGCAGCAGTTGTTAAGAAGTATGTTCATATATTAGACCAAAACAAATGTAGTACTTTTTCACATTAATACTTTCCTAATCTCACTTTGTCATGTAGCTAAGCTTTCTGTTGCTGCAAGATAGAATGATGTTCAGATTTATGAGAATCATTCATAGGAGACTTTCTGTCTTAAAAAGTAATTTCTTATATGACAGTGATTGAAAGAAGACTAGGAGAATGCCAGTCAGCACTGGAATGCCTTCATAACCCCCAGCACCTGTTTGAAAGAGTTCCATTCATAACATGGAAGATGGCATTACTCATCTACCATTCGATGCCTTAAGCTTTTACCTCTCTTGAGATGGACAAACAATTAAAAAAACCCAACTAACAAAAAACCCACAGGTCCCCTTCCCACATCCACCTGGAAATATGGCCTTAGCCCAAAGATTCCTGGAAGCAACAGAGCTAGAACTTAAAAAGCTATTTGTGCATATATTAAATAGAATTGGAGCTATTGCACAACAAAGGTGTATCTTGTGAATGGATTGAAACTGCCATAAAATTGAGAACTTCAGAGTTTAGATTGCAATCCAGTTGAAATACTATTCAGAAGTCTGTCATTTCAGTGAATTTGCCATAACTTTTGCCTTCATTTCATATGGTGTATTGTTCTAGTCTCAGTTTAAATAACAGATGAAGAGGAATTTCATTTGAATTTTGTTATCCCTAGATAAGCCATGCCTGCTGCAGCTGATGTAACTGTGGGGGACCTGCCTGTAAGACATACAGGTCTAACTCCAGCTGGAATTGAAGGATTACAAGGTTTGTACCAGCTGCTATTTATTACAGCTACAGACTTTGATCAGTGGCTTCTTTAGTTTCTTTCTAAAAATGTTTCTGATGTTGCCACTCACAAAATTAAGTTCAAATACCATTCAAAATCTGGCTTAAATTGAGAAAGATGCTGTGACCCATTCTATGTTCAAGTTGCTTGTTATAAGAGGGGAGTTGCTGTGAGATGGTAAAAACTGAAAATGTCATTGAGCTGTAACATTCATACTTCCAGAAGAAAAGAGGATTTTTTTGCTGAATTGAGGACAAGGCCAGATCCATTTCACAAAATGGGAACCAAAAGTATTATGCAATTCTGCTATGTTACTCAGCTGCTATTAGAATGGAACAAATGGGCTTAGTCTTGTATCTGAGTAAATTTACAGAATTATGAGTTAATATTTTCAAGCTTCAAGATAATATGTTAACTTTGGAACAGATTAGAAAGAATCCCTTAGGTAATGCTTATTTTGAGATAGCATCTTTGGCAGAACCTGGTTACTTGGTAAACTGTTACCTTTGTGTTGTCTAGTATGAAAACAGGTTGCTGTATAGTTTTAATTGCTTTTTTTTTTTAATCTGTAAGAGGAAGGGAAAATGAAGTGATTTAAATTACTATAAATCCAAAAAAATTAACAGACTCATACAAGTGTAAAATATAAAATTACTTGAAAAGTTGGGGACATTCAGTATTTCAAAATGAGTTTTGACTTTGAGCTACATGTTGTTGATTACATTGAAGGTAATTTAAAGTTGTCTTGGTTTGGGTAGAATCATGAACTGCACAGAATATAAAAGCTCAACGAGCCAGGTAACAAACCAGTCAAGAAGAACCAGAGGACAGGTTTCTTCATGTACATGATGATCACATCTTACTCAAGCAGCATGCAAATGAGCAAGAGGAGAAAACTAAAAGGTATGGGGGTTAATACTTTTATTTTAGCTTGCAGTAATGTTTTTGCCCTTTAAAACAAATTGAAAATGTTGATTTCTCTCAGAGCACTTTTTAAAGCAGTAGCAAAAATCACTCTTTGAAATTAATTGTTTTTAATTTCTGGTTATGTCTGTGTATGTATGTCTTTGTGGTGGACTGTATTAGATCTCCATGCACTGAACTGCAGTGCTGTCTGTCACTTTGGAGCTGGTACCTTGTGCTCAGGGCTATGCTGTTAGAGTGTTCTGGGAACTGTAGAAGAGTCTATGGAAGCCTAATGATTCATCAGGAATTTCATTCTAGAATCAAAATTGTGTATACAGTGAGATTCCGCCCCTGTTATTAAACTTAGTGCTGTGCTGGCAAACCAGTTTGGGCTCAGCAGAAGTGTTCATGGTATTACTGCATTTCAGGAGGGCTGATTAATCCAAAAGCACTGTGACTCTGTGCTCACATTGTGCAGTACTAAATAAAGTCAGGCTGCATCCAAACAAGGTGGTGTGGGAAACTCGAAGATTCATAAAAGGGCATCTGAAAATATTGCTTCTGTAGATGGGACTATTTAGTAATTTTTTTAAGTCCAAGGAATTCTTTCCTTCTGACTCAGTATTCAGTGGATCAGGAACAAATTGACCAGCATGACATAACTTCCATCTTTTCTGTCAGGCTGTTGTCAAATCCAAGATGGTGGGACAAGTGAATTGTTTGCTTATTCCAAAGGGATTTCCTGTGTTTCTGTTAGATGCCTTACCAAAGGCTCTCATCATCCACTCAGGTAGCGTTACACAGAATCTTCAAATTGGAATACCTGAATTAATGCTTTATGGCACAGAAAATAAAAAATATGGTGTTTGCTAGAGAAAAAAACTTAACTCCTCAAGTTGAATTTCTTTTCCAGCATTCCTTGCCAAAACCCTTTTAACTAGAAGTTTGGAATGAATTTGCAGTAGAAGAACATTGAAAAAACTCCATGTAAACAAAAAACCTGCTTACAGGCAAGTAACATTCTGTGACATCCTGAAGTTATTAGGGATTTTTTTTGTTTCACTTTTGTTCTTTTAAGTAGAAGCTTCTGTCCACAAGTATACAAAAAATAAAACAAGTCCTTTTAAATAAATGAAGTGTGTCCTTATTTTCAGTTTTCTTTCTGGGCCTTCAAAAATAGATTTCCTGTAAACTAGATACAGGTCTCAAAGATGTGCAACCGACTTTGTAAAGTCTTGAACTTGTCTCTCTCATCAAAGCCACCTTTTCTTTCTTTATATGCCAAGTTTTTTGCATTCACTTCTGGGTATGTTTTCTGTTCATGCATGTTACATCACCCCCACGTGCCCTCACTGCCTTTTGTTCTAGCTTACCAATGTTTATCAGAACCAAGGGAAATCAAAGGTACAACCTTTCAGATACCAAAAGCAAAATTTGTATCCTTCTAAAGACAGATGACAGCCATAACCTCTGTATCTAATTATATTCTGCAGCTAACTGTTCCTTCTCCAAAGCACACTGGAAATATTTGCCATGTATAAAATTGAGTATGGTAATGAGAACTGTTAAGTCTTTTTTTCCAGAGTACCTTCTTAAATATCTCCACCTATATATTTCAGCCACTTTAGACATGGAATATATATTTAAATCCCAAAATACTAGAAATTGTATATAATTGGAATGTTGCATATTATTAGCATTCTTTCAATAGTTGAATGTTCTGTGGAATTGGAGCTTTTATAGTTTGCCCCACCACATCTCAAATCTGTAACTTTACTTAACAGCATGCAGAGGTTCCTATATAAGGTCATGCGTTAAAAATTACATTTAAGCACCATATGGAGTAAATATGTGTCCTCCCTTTACTAACCTTAAATGATAAGCCTTAGGAAACTGTTATTTGTCAGTGCTATAAAGCAGATTGCTGCACAGTGGTTTCAATTATCTTCAAAGAGTTCTTCACAGGCAGTAATAGTTATATCAAAACCTGAAATTTATTATTCAGGTTCTATGCTGAAGTCTTCACAGTGATTATGTTCCTTTCAACAGAATGCTTTTTATGCTGACTTTTCACATTCTTTTTCATCTTTTTTATTATTTCCCCAGAATGACCACCAAGTTAATACAGCTTGTTAATGATAAAAAAAGTCTGAACAGGTTGGTGGCGGCCCCAAGTGGCTGGGTCAGGCCTGGAGCTGGAAGAAAGGATTGTGCAATGACAAGAAAAAGTTCATAAGCTTGAGAAACAGAATGAGAGCCTCCCCTTTCAGCTGACCAGCAGCTCCAGATTCCAGGCCACAGACCTTGTCCATCCAGCTGGGTTCAATCTTTTATTAGCAGTGGTCTCAGAAAAGTGAGCAAGGCTGCTGATATGCCACAGCACACAGGGAAAGGTGTAATTCACATTTATTAAAAACAATGGTTTATATCCCTAACAATTGCTTCACTGTAGCCAGTCCATACTCTTTTTTGTTCATCAGTGGGCAATAATAGTACCTGTAGGCAGAAAGATTGTTTTCCCCTTGTTCTTGTATTTATTTATAGCAGCCATGTTAACTTGCTTGCCTTTGAAGTCCTTATTATGAGAATCCACAGAGGCAGGGGTTAAACAAAAGTACAGATTTGAGAAGACAGTAGCTATCAGGCAAGTTTTCTAATAGTTAAAAATCATTTGACTTCCTTAGTAAAACTTCTCTACATGTTAAAGGGTTATAAAAGTAGTATATGAAAAAGTTTACTGTTTTCATGTTACAACAAAGTTTCACATCTGTAGTTTGTTTGCACATGTTTTTCCTTTCTTAATTTCAAGGTTTGTTCTAGTCTCTTGATACATGTGTGCCCAGCACTGCAGACTTGAAAAATCTCACATGTGTGGGCTTTGAAAAGCAACTACTACGATGCAGCCATCTATAATGGTGCTTTTTGCTCTTGAGACTTTCTGCTTAAGGCAGGCTCCCTCTCAGGCCTTTACTCACTGTAGTTACATTGGGAAATCACACTTTAAAACTTTCATATATTCATAGGAACATTTGTAGAAGTAATTGTACTCAGTTAAGCTATACACTGAACTGATAATGTATTTTAAAAAAAACCCATCAGCTACAGCACTGATTCAAACCTGAGTCAGCAGAGTTGTCTCCTTAATTTCCAGAAACTATGGATCAAGCTGGTGGCCAGTTACACCTCACACCAGTCTTTATTTTTATGATATTCATTCAGGTATATGATAACAGCAACAATTCTCATGTTTTTACATTAAAAAATGTGTTTGTTTCTACCAATTTGCCTCTCTAATCTATTTGTAGTGGAAGTTTTGATGATTTCCATACACCTGTTTTTACACTTCATATCATTGATTGGGAAGTCTTATTCCCAAAATCAATTTGTTTGGTTTTTGTCTTAACAATGCAAAAATAGGTTGGAGGTATAATAATTTTATTGAGGCCCAGTGCTACCAGATAGAAGAGGGACTTGGTTCTGGGAATACAGATCAAATGTTGATATGACAGAGGGGGAGGGCTTATCTTGGTATAAAAACAGATCCGGATCTAAGATGTCCTGTGCAGAACTAGGACTGGGACCATATTGATTAGGGCAGAGATTCTTAAACTGAAGCAAACATGAGTAATTAAAAAAAAACAAACAAAAAAACAAAAACACTTGTTCACAGAAGGTCCAGGTCAGATGACAATGTTCAGAAATTTCATAGAAGTTCTGATGTGTCAATCTGTTCTCTAAAGCCTTGTCCAAACCAGAGGGGATTCTGGTAATTTGAGTGCTCTGAATATGCAATTTTTTGAACACATTTTCTTAAGGCGAAGACTTACTAGAAATGTAGTAACCAATACTCAGAACTTGAACACAGTAGCATTGTCTTCCATAAGGACAGAGAATACTTTCTATAATATTAAGCATAGACTATTTCATGGTTTTGTCTTGCATATGTCCTCATCCTGCCCTTTTGATCAATGATGATAAACCCAACAGACTGATGTTGGATTTCTGCCCTCTTTTTTTTAAAGACTGCTGAACTCTTAGATTGCTCAGTCAAACCTCTCAAATCATTTTTAGTGCAGATCAGAAAACATGCAGGACTTATCCAAAAGTAAAATGCCTTGAAAAATTCAGGAGAGCCTGGCTGTCTTTAGGTTATGAAGAGACCAAAAAAAATCCACAAAGAGTAAATACACCTTACTGGGTCTGCTTTGTGTTTGGCTGCTTTAAAAATACCATAGCAAATTGATCCAGAAGGTCTTCAACATAATTCTTGCAAAATTTTAGGTATAAGTTCATAGCAAACAATTTAATGTTCATTACTGCCCATGGATAATTTGGCATCTAGCAATAGTAGAAAACTATTGGCCTTGTATGAGGGTAGAGTAGCAAATTAGGTGTAGCTGTGCAGTGCAGCAAAGTCAGGCAATGTGCCTGCAGAATGTGTTCATAATAAAGCCTCTATTAGAGAAGTCTTTTTTCTTTCTCTTTTTTACTTAAAAAAAATACATGCAAATTTCTGCAGCTTTGCATGTATTTCCCCTTTTTGCTATTTCAGTTTCAGACTGTTACCTTTAGTGGTGTTAAGGATCTAGTATGGCATGGTCCTGCAATCCTTGCTAGTTTGATTTCAATGGAAGTTCTTGATAAGAAATATGTCATCAGTTCTTTAACTGCCTTTCAAGGGAGGGACCCTGTTATTATGTGTGAGCATTCTTTAGTGCATCAGTGGTGCTACATAAATAATACATCATAATGTTTGCTATTAAATTATTCACAAAGTCATAAGTCTCCCCTATTCAGAATTTCCTTTATATAGTTTAAATAGGTTAAAGAAGTTGTTATCATAAATAATGTCTCAGTCTGTGCCTACAGTGAATTTAGAAAATATTTTAAATATTTTTTCATTATTTGAAAGTAATCTGTTTCGAAGAACTTCTGTCCTTCATTTTTGTATGAACACTCTTCTTCAAGTACAGCATACAGAAACTGAAGATAACATCTAAATGTGATGTCAACTACCATATTTGTGTGAAAACTTTTAAGGAGTCTGAAAGTAAAGATGAACTTCAAATTCAGCTTAAAAAAAATCTTCAAATAAAGCTATGGTCTAAAAAGTAGTGCAGATCCTTGTTTATGTTCATCAAATTACTTGTATCCAAACCATCACACTTGACCTAAGTTGCTATCTAAGTTGCTATTAAGTTCTGAAATTACTTCCTTTATAGTCTATTTCTAGTTTGAAACCTGATAGAAGATATGTTAGTATTTGAGAGATGCTGTGTTTGACTGAAAATACTAGGAAATAAACTGAAAAATGTCCACCAGTACATTTGTAGAATAGTGTATGTTCTATAATTTTGCCACCAGAATACTTTATGGAAAGCTCTTAATCCTCAAGTTTTCCAAGTCATGTATTTTTTACGTGCTGAATGCACAGAGGCAGAACTTAAAGGGATCCATGAATGTTATATTTTGGACACTTTCATTAGCTTGCTTTCTTGGGAATGTTGTAACTGCTATCTACAACAGTCTGTATGAGTTGTTTTACTGCACAAATAATCCTACAGGTTCTGTCTCATTTTTAATTTTTGTATCAGCAAAGAAATGTCAATACTGGAATACTGGAGAAAAACCTGGACATTTGGGTGACCAATAAGGTCATCTTAGTTTATCTTTGTAGCTTATGTTTTTGAATTTTGATATTATTAGCAGCTTTTTCATGTGTTTTGTCAGAAAACACATGGCTGTCATCCTGCTACTTAACCATGTAAAGACAGAGTGGAAATTCTTTAGGAGCTGTGTGATGCCAGCAGGATTGGGCTCCCACCAATCTCCTTGCTGCAGCACCATCTGATGTCAGCCTGCTGTTAGATTTCTGCCAGCCTTTAGGAAAACATTCTTTATTTTGCTACATGTTTAAGAAGTTCTTGTGATTGAAATCGCTGTAGTTACCAAATAGTGAAGCAGCCCCAGCTAATCATTAGTTCACCATCAATTAGGAAGGGAGGTGCTGGTTATCCTGAGTTATCCTATATCCACAAATATCCCATCATATTTTAAAGCTGCTTTTGCAGCTTCACTGCAGTTTCTGTCTAACACTAGAGCTACATACAAGAGTTGAGTTCACATGCAGCTCTCCTTGAGATGATTATTCTAATGTGGCTGCAATCAATGGTTTTTTTCCATATTTAATTGGAGTTTGTTTGGGGATTCTTTCAGGAATGTAGAAATCTGCCTTAAGGGACAAACTTGGATTAAACACATTTTGAGTACAAAATTTATCTACAATTAGCTTGACTCTTTGTAATGAAAAGATGGCTGAAACCACAGCCTTGTGATTTGATGTCTATGGTACACAGTGTGCTAGGTAAAGCATTAATTATAAATAAAATCATTTTGCCAGCAGATATCTTCAAATTACTTAACAGCTCATAGTACTTTCCAAAAATACCTTTAAAGCCATCCCAGACTGTATTTGTGAAACAGGTATTTGCATGTTTGTGCTTTTTGTTGTATGTTTTATTGAGTTGATTTTTTAATGAAAAAAGCTTATTTCCTTGTCAGTTTTTGATTGCTTTGACATTTTTTACTGCATTGTTACTCTGGACTTAAACTGATTAGCTTTGTTAATTAAATCAATTAGATGTATGTAGATCTGTTAGATAGTACTGCACATTCATGTTCTTCTCTGCTTGTGACTGTGTCTTGGATGTTGTTGTATTTGTGGTTGAGAACAATTAGCTGAAAAGCCTTTTGTTTATTTTGCCAGACAGAGGGCAAGTGACCCTGAGAAGTTTGGTGGTGATACATATTTTACTTGCTTGGTTTTCAGTTCTGAGTATGAATGAGTAAAAGTTTTTGAGCCACTAATCCAGTAAATACAATAGTCAGGACTCCTTAAGAGTAGTCTCAGTATTGAATCCATGTCCTGCTCATATGGAAGCAAAGACAAGATGCAAGGGATGTGGTTTAATTAGACCTCAATTTTATTAGCTTAGCCATCTGGGATTTACTGGCATAAATTTGTACAGTGGAGGTCACGATCCTTTCTTTAATCATTTCCTTCTGGTGTAAGTTGCTATCAGTGCCCCATTCCCACACAGCTGGTCCCCAGCCTGTTATTGGGACTCCACTCTATGTGCTTTTAATCCAAATGATAAGAGGTCTGGAAGAGAGATTGTCTCTTTGGTGTAGTTCAGACATTAACCCCAAAGATAATCCTTAGCTTTTTTAAGAGTCACTTTCTCCTAACTTCGTTTTCCATTTCAGACTTTTAAAGCCAGCACGAAGATGAGGTTGAAAGGAAGGATAGAGTTCATGTTCCTAATTTCTGCAGTTGGGGTAGAAGGCATAGAGCTAGGATCACTTTGCCCATTAATTCATGTTATTGCCTCCAAAGGGATATTAGTTCCTTTTCTTTTTCTGACTTCTGTTCAGCTCTACTTCCATGTGTCCAAGTTCTGTGGCAATTTTTTCTTTTTTTTTTTTTTTTTTTTTACTTTTTGGGCACTAAAGAAAATATTGCTTGAGCTATCTCAGTACAACTTTAGCCTTATACATTACTTTGGGGAAAGTATTTGTTTTAATGAAAAATACTAGTTAATTTCTATTAAATCTGTGTATAACTCCTATTTTTAAGCAATATCTGAATACCTGAGCAGATGTTCAGGGACCAGAATATACCTACCAGAGAGGGAGAAGCCTGTGTAGATCATAATTTTCGATTCTACTGGTTTGTGACTTCATTTCTAGAAGAATGATCCTTCCCAACAGTCTTCCTCAATTAACTGTGCCTTACCCATGAAATCTGAGAAGATCTCATTGTTCAACAAGCTCTTCTTCATATACCTGGATGCAGTGGACATTTCTTAGGCATATTTAATTCAAATAAATAAAGAAATTGTGATCAATGTAATGCACTAATAAGTAATTAATTGCACATGCTTTCTCTAGCTCTTAAAATTGCAAGGTTTGAAATGATTGAAATAAAGAGTAATTTTTCACTTTTGAATTTGAATAAATTGCTCCATAATATTAATATCTAAAACTTGTTTGAATCAAATGCCGTTTCATTCACTGTTGAAAAAATAGTTAATGTTGACTGTCAGAAGCTATGGAGTTTACATCTGTACATCATAAATTTCATTATCATCTGCTCCTTTTTCTACTTAAAGAGAAAAAATAACGTCCCCTGCTTAAAAAAGAAAGGAAAAAAAGGGGCCTTTGAAGGCATCAGACCCTTTTGTTTGATGTGTGGAACAAGATTAATAAAAACGTGCCACTACATTAGCTTTTAAATAGCTAGCATGAGACAGTGCTGCTGTCTATACTCACCACAACTTTAATTTATGTAGATAACATATTTGAGACACATGATAGTTTTAGCTTTGAGTTGGGCCTGTTTCTTGGGGAAGATCTCAGATTTGTGACTGTGTTTATCTTTTGTGCAAGGACAATTAACTGGGTAATGCCAAAACACAATAGCATTTGATATTTTGAAGAATAAAAGGAAAATATTTCACGTATCCAGCTGGTTTACAGATGTGTAAGCTTTATAGTCCATTCTCTTGCTCCAGCGTGGCATTGTGACTGTATGTCCAATACATCTAAAATTGATAAATATTGGAAGAAAAAATGCCTTTTCAAAAGTTAAGGATTTTTTTATTTATAATAATTTATATTAATAAAAATCATAATCAAATCTTGTAGTTGTAATCTTAGAATTGTAAGAATATCTACATAAATATTAAATTATTTTCACATAGTTGACACACCTGCAGCATGTTTGAGTCCAGGCCTTCAGGTGTTACAAGTTGCTAAGACCCTTTTATTATCAGAATTCAATATGTTTAAAGTATAAGAGAGAATTAATAAAAATTATATTCTGCTGGCACCAAATACTTCAGATGGTGGAAAAGTGAATGGAGAACAAATAATCTCTTTAAGTATAGGATGGAAGTTTTTTCTGTCATGTCCTGTTTTATAATCAACAATAATCAAAGATGTTGATGTATTCTTTAAAGCTGCTGTATCTTAATGTTTATCTACCTACATTCTGTAATGTCAGTTATAGCAGAAGAAATTAATTTGGGCATTACACACTAAATCTGCTGCATTTTTGAAATCTGCTGCATTTTTGAAAAAGCTGTTGTAGAAAGCTGATTTGCAAAATGAGTTCAACTTTTCAAAAGCTCATGATATATTTCTTTTTAAATTTGAAGCCTAAACGTTTGGGACAGTGTGGAAATTATCAAGGTTGTAAACAACTGGTTGAGAAAAGCAGTTCTCTTTCAGCAATGGAAGGGAAATTTCTCCGGTTTCAAGAGATATTTGGAATTTGGTCAGTACATTTCTCTACTTTTATCACATGAGCCAGTGTAAATGGAAAAAAAAATATTCACAGTTCTTGATTTTGAGTCAATACTGAGGACATGAAAATGAACCACATATTACACTTCTCTCAAGCTGCTCCAAATGGAGGAAGGATTTTTAGTCTTAAATTTTGGGCTTTTTTTAGAAGAGTCTAGGAGGTCATCCCAGGCAGATTGTGAAGAATGAACTGGGCTGTCTGGCCACTGAAAGAGACTCCTGATGATTTAAAGAGAGAGCTTTGACTTAAATATACTAATTTACCAAAAAAAGGGGTACCAGACCACCCTCATTTTATCGGTCTTGGATAAAGTTTCGGAGATTGTGCTGTTTTGTTCTCCGTGATTCAGTTTGAGCTTGTGTTCTTAAGTCCATGGAAATTATTTTAAAAGGCTATTGTAAGTAATGTTTTTCTTTATAACAAGAACAGTTTTATGAAAATATCACCGAATGTGCAATGACAGCTCTTGCCTTCTTTCTCCCATATGTGTTTGGAGACCTGCATGTGCACATGGAGGTGGTAGGATGGGCAGCCTGAAATGGGAGAGTTCCTGGCAGTAGGGGAATCCTAATGCAGTAGAGCTCTGTAAAGTGTCCTAGCCTTAGGAGCTGGAAGCACCAGGAATCCCCTGTAACCTCTCCTTTAGCATCCTACATCACATTTGTGCCATTAGATTTTTGTTCCATTCCTTTTTCCCCTGTGTTGTTTCATTTCTACCTCTTGCTGTACTTAGCCTTCTTCCCCTCTTTGGTGTAGTGCCTATATCCTTTCTGCCAAAGCAGCTCTTCTGTCAGCAGCTCAAATCTAGTTTTTCATAGGGTGAGCTATAGTAATTCCAGGGGAGACAGGTTTCACATGACTTTTTGGGTTCTTAAATAAAAAGCAATAAGTAAACTGTTCCATTTTAAATCATATGCAACTTTCTGGTAACTTACACCAGTAGGTTTTGGGTGATTTTGCCTCTTTCTTGGCAGCAGCTGAAAGGAAACATGGGCTTAGGACCCAAACTGTTATTTGAAGACATTGTTTCTAATATTCACAGTGAAAGGTGCATTTTGGAGAAGGATGAGTGTTTTCTGTGGCTCTTTTTTTGTTACAAGAGAATGGATCCAATGGTTTTCCAATTTCAAATAATTTGAATCTTTGAGACATGTCTACTAAATGTGAATAATTGTAAAATCCAAAATTTCTAGTTAGATGGCACATAATATACTTACCTATTACAACTACTTTCTAGGAAATAGTATATTGAAAAAACTGAAGCTAACTTTATTCTGTCTGCAATCATTAAGCACTATCTATAGCCACATATGTATTTAGCATAAATTTTCATACACTCATTTTATTAAACAGAAGATTGGCTTCTGTGCTCTGTTGTTTCAAGTCATAATTTGAATATTATTTACATTGAAATTCTCAGTGAATGAGGCTTTATTAAAGCATTTGTGGAATGTAGCCACTATATTGTTAACTAGTATTCTGAAATTAGAGGTTCTATCAGCATTCTTCATTTAATATTAAAATTGGTTAAATGTGCCTTAATGTCATCCATTGAAATAAATGAAAATAGAAAAGAAATCAGAAGTCCCTTTTTAAAGTACTACTAGTAGGAAAATAGGACTGAATGTATTAGGATTATGGAACAATCACATATTTACAATGAAGGGTTAACAGAGCTGTGGCAAGCTCTGTGATTACCATAACTGTGGTCAACATTCATTTCTGCTTGCTGCTGCGGTGTTTTTTGGTCAGCATGTCTAACCACCATAACCACAGCAAAATCTTTTAATTGCTGTACAGATGTATTTCTTAGTTGTTTTCATCATGACTGAACTGAGGGTTTAATGTTGATGAGAGCACCAGGAGTGCCACCTTTCCCCAGCCATGCATTCAGTTACTTGGATCAAGTGCCTCCTGTTGAGCACATTGAGAATACATACACTAAATACTGCCAGGGACACACACCACTGTTGGAATATGCTCTGTTGTAACATTCTACTAGGTGTAATTTATTTTATTTTTTCCTGGATATTCCTTTCTTTTCATAGAGCCTAAAGAACTTAAAGACCAACCATGATGCTTAGCAAAAGGTGATGAGCTGAATGGATAGCTTAAAAAGGGGCAGTTAAAGTAGTTCCATCTTCAAAACAAATTGCAGTCAGTAGCTATTTCAAAGAGAGGGACAGAGGAGGTGAGGCTGTGGGCTAGAGCTAGAATCTTTTACTTTAGGTAGTGCATACAGATAAGGGAAAAAGAAATGTTGGGGTACATTTCAACAGAGGAGATGTGAATAGACCTTTCAAACATATTTAGAAGAGTGGTACTACATATATTTTTATCCTATTAAAAAGAAAAATTTCTGACCAAAATGCTGTTTGTATTTCATAGAACTGTGAACCACACCGGATCCAAACCACCAGTCTTTGGACAATATTTGAAGTTAAAGCATAAGACATCATGTCAATCCTGGTACTAAAAAAGTGGTTTATTAATAGAAAAAACCCATAATACTTGGTTTATTGATCATGTATTGCTAGTTCCTAGTATTCTTTGAACCTGATTTAATTAGAGTACAGTGTTACATCTTATGCAGCAGTTCAAATCATTCTATGTCTAGTGACTCTGAGAGACTTCTGTCATCACTAACAAGTTGTCCAGATACAGGGCTAAACATCAGATGGGGAATGGTTTCTTCCCCATTTTCTTCTATGTGTAAGGAATAAAAATGTGAAAACCTACTTGATTTTTCTTGATTTTGTACCAACTTAGTTTTACCACCTGTTTTACCTGTTGTAATTAAATGTATTTTATGTGACCCAAGTTTACCTCATAGATATTTTTGCCAAGCATTTTAAATGTTGTAATGCATGGAGGGTAGATATTCTCTATTTAAGTGTCTCATGTCCTTAAACCAGATCCTGCTGTAGTGAGTGTTTTGGAAGCAAGGGTGTGTTGTTTCTATAATGTCACTAAAAATATTTTCTATGCAAAAGCCATGCCCTAGCTAATACTGATATTCACTTCCTGGAAGGGAATTTAAAAATGGAACACTCGAGGTTTTTATATTATTTTGCATAAGACAGAATGTGATTAGATTGTTGATCAACTGCAACATGCTACTCTCAGCTTCATCTAAACAGCATGGAAAAGACTTTGGGCTAATGTAAATAAATCCATGTGGATTTATCTTATAAAGCTTCTAAGAGACAGTTGTATTAAAAGAACAAACAATAGCCTGACCCTAAAAATTATTTGCTATTTCTGTTCACACATTCGTTGTAATTTCATTTTGTGCTGTGCATTACTTGAAACTTCTCTCTTCATTTTAATTACAGGAAAGAATAAACAATCCAGAAAAAGAGAATGAACTCTTGAACAAAAACTATGATAAGCTGTGTAAGGTAAGTTAGGATTTCTGCATACAGAAAATTTGATTCTGGTTCTTTTTTCATAGATCTTAATATACGGTGTTCTGTAATGTGTTCATAAATATTTTGTGCTTTTGCACACGTGTAACTCTGCTCAGGCTGCTGTTCATCATATGACTGTATATGGAAACCCTCATGTGCTCTGCTATATTTCATCAGCTCTGTTAAAAAACTTAACAGCTTAAAACTTTTTTTTTACTTAGGAGGTGCAACAGTTGTATAATCACAAAATTTAGAGTTTTGTATGGAGAAGTTGGTCACTTTTCACTCACTTAGGTTAATTGCTGGAGATTTCTCCAGAATTTGATCATGTCACAAAAATTTCTGATGACCTTTTTGTTTATTCTCGATTATTTATTCAGAGAAATAATTCTTACTAATAAATCAACCTAACAATCTTGGCTTGAAATTTTCTGTTCTACTTATAAACATAATGGGATGACTTAAAAAAATATTAAACAAGAGAAATTGAAAATGAGCTTCCATTATAGCATGTAGTCTATACTATGGTGTTTCTTTCACTAAAATGATCTGTCTTTTCATATACTCTCATTTAAACACTGATTCATCTTTCATCATTCCATGTTATTGTATAGGTATCAATATATTAGAAAGAGAAGGATTATATAGCCACCATTTAATGCTTTTAAGCTTTTTTGGTTGCCTATTTGAACAATACAACTTTACTAGAGCTTGCCTGGGCTAGCAGTAGATAGGCCAGTGTCCACAGGTGCCACTTAATTAATAATTAATTAATAATTCTTTTTTAACTTTTAAATGGAGGCAAAGGTGCATAAACCCATTCTTCGCTAAAGTTTTCTTCAGGAAATTTTTTGATGTTGATGGAAATTTTGCCAAAGCCAAGACTGAAGAACTGGATCTGAAAAGTTTGCAAAGAACAAGTATGAATTTGTCAGTTGACTCTTATTATTTAGTCAGTATCCAAGAAAACAATTCATTGGTATAAAAGGTTTGGAGGAATTGTTTTCATATGACCTTGTAATGCAAATCTAGCAATGCTTAAACTCCCTCCAAAGGAAATGGTGCCAGATGTGGTTGACCATTATAGTTACACAGATGGCTTCAACTCCAGTGAAATACAGTAAATATGAAAGAAATTCCACATGAATTCAAGTAAATGTAATCTTAAAATTTGAAAGAAGAAAGCAACACACGTGGACTCAATTCACACTGACATAAACATTAGCACTATATGGGTTCAGATAAAACCTGTCTTCTAAAATGGTCTTCATTTAAACATCTAAATTCTTAACAACCATAATAATGCTTAATGATTCTTCTGCCAGCTCAGTCTTCTAAAAAACTGAACTAATACCTGGCTGCACCCTACTGTGAAGTAATTGTACCTAAAGCTGATGAACTCACATATAACTGGGTGTTGTGGTCATTCAAACTTGAAAACATTTTCAGAAGTGTGGAAACTGACAGTATTTCTTTTCTTTTGAAGAGAGTTGTGTTTTCCCTATGGAAGCCAATCAAACTCCAAGCCATTAGAGAACACAGTGTCTCTTCTGTACTTTGCAATACTGTGGAGTGGTAGTGGATTCAGTGCATTATATTGCCTGTATATTACCTTCAAAATTATAGGAGAGTGATGCATGTATGACTGCAGGACTTAGAAGCTCTGCTTTAGCTCATGCATGCTGTGAAAACAGTCACACTATGAAATGCTCTATGCCTAGAGAACTGTGTACATAGGTTAGATATAGTATGAAAAAAAGACAAAATACAGGGATTTAGAATGTTTTCATGAATAAAACATATAGGAATACAAACCCTATATACTTTAGGGTTTACAATTCATGCTATAATATTTTATTTCTTTAATCTTGAAGTCATTCTTCAAATATATGAGATATAAATGCACTTATAGGTGCTCAGAATTCTCAGTCAGCATGTAGAGTCTGAACCTGTGTGGGCTGTCCTCATGTGTCCTATGTGTTCTGCAGCATCTCTTCCTCCTCTCTTTTTGTGGTCAAGGCTTGTTACATAGATCTCTTCAAGAGATAGGTGGATAAAAAAAATAGATATCGGAAGATTTCTAATACACTGATTTATGTAAAATATAGTTTTTTTAGCTGACAAGCTTCACCAAAGAGTTGAGGAACTGACTTTTTTTGTTTACAGAACCCTGCAGTTACTAATTTTTCATGGAGTACAAAAGTGAATAAACTGCTTTGTGCTCGGTGAAGATCTACATTTTGTTCAGTAAATAAGAATGCAAATATAATAATATGAAGACTATACCACTCACTGTCTAATTTATATGAAAACTCATTGCACAGCTTTGTCTTTTTGCCTACTGAGAATTACACTGTAAATTATATAATGTACTTAATTTAGTTTTAATCCGAGTAATGCTTTTTGTTGTGGTTTCAGCAGTTCTAGTTCTGTGTCCATGCAATGCTTACTGCACATAGATTGGTAGTTTACAAGTAAATAATGTGTTACAGGCAAAGAAGTCATTCTAATTTCTTGGCCCACCTCTGGTTTTTTTCTTTAAAGTAGGAGAACGATTACTTTAAATGTGCTTCTTAATCAGTATCAGAATTGTTGTTTTACAGTATGAGAAAACTGTTGTCACTTTGTGGTCAACATTTTTCTTTGAACAGGCAACTGACTTTATGCTCTGCATGTTTCACAGATTTAAAAGAAATCAGGCGGATGATCCCAGTTCTCTACACTAAGAGGTTTTGTATGCGGAAAGAATGGTTTTGTTAGTTGTCAGTTGCTGAGGTTTTGAGTTGTGGATTATTCTGGGATATGCATCTGAATTCCTTTTCTAGTCCCACAAATGCTGCATGCTGCCAGCTTTTTGACTTTGGATCTCTAAATTAAGGCCAGTTCCTTTGCTCATCCCACAAACTCTTTCATGTTTTTTAACCGCAGCCTGAGAAAGGCGCCTTGGTTTCAACAGCAGCAGACCAGCATGTGTTTACTTAATTCCTAAGACATGATGACAGTGGTCTCTGTGCCACTAAAAGCTTTTTTCTTTATTATTTTCTGTTGAAGCTGATTTCTAAAAGTTTTTCACATGCCATATGTTTTATTACAGTGTCTTCTGTATGACCCAGGAACAGCAATGGAAATCAAAGGAACAGCAAATGAAACTGCAAATTGCTGAACTAGAGATGGCTATCAAATCTGATTTAGCAGACAAAAATGCAATCCTTGACAAGATCAAAGTAGAAAGAGGTATTTTTCTGAAAAAATCTAATATTTTCTCAAGATGTGAGGTCATACCTATGTTGAAGTTCAGGAATATTGCCCAGAAAAGTGTAGTTTCTATTGCTGGTGATTTCAAAGCTGCCTTTTAAGTGAACATTTGTACAATATGCTAAGGTTATAACTAGCTATTAAGTACAAAAATTCACCAAATACAGATTATATGCTGAATGAGGCTCATGCTTTTTCAGCTGCATTTATTCTTCTTCTGTTGGGTTAATACTTACTCTTTATTCAGTGTTTCTTCTCTCCTCTACATTGAAAGCTCTTACAGAAAAGAGGCCCATCTGACAGTCTCCCTCAAATTAAAAGCCACTATTCTGTTTACTGTGCAAAGTTACACAAAGCCTATACAGGCCTTTGGCCATGTTTAATTGTCTTTCAACTTCATTAATTCAGAAGTTTTTAATATTTTCAGTATACACAGATTTTTATTTACAGCTGTGTACATTTACAATAATACATTTTTCTTGTAATCTACTCAAGAGATTATTTCATATGTGTCTTTCCCATGCTGTAGGGGCAACTTCTCAGTGAATATTTAAGACTTTGCAATCTCTCTTTGTATCTCAATGCTGTGTTATATACTGTAGCAATATATAAAGTTTACAAAAGAAGAGCACAGGCTGGAAGTAACCTAAATATTTTTAATTTGATTCTTCAAATGTGTATTCTTTAAAAAGTGTATTTATTTAAATGTATATATAAAAATATATAAAGTTTACAAAAGAAGAGCACAGGCTGGAAGTAACCTGAATATTTTTAATTTGATTCTTCAAATGTGTATTTTTTAAAAAGTGTATTTCTGTGAACAATCTAATAGAATGAAGTGGACCAGCTTGTGAATAATTCTTCTTATGAGTATGGCTTCAGTTCATCATGTGCTTACTATTAAGATTCTGAGTAGCTTTATTGACATCTAATACTAAATTGATCATTTAAACTTTTTTTTTGACCCCAGCAAGTGTTAGCAAAATTGCCCTTAAGTGATACTAATATGAATAAAGATACCTTAAGCTACATTAATATGAAGTTACAACACATCAGTTGTTACTGATAGCTTGATTATATAATGCTAAATTTAAAATTATATTCAGAGCATGAAAATATCATGGGCTGTACTATTATTTGGTTAAGCTGAATTTGGGAAATTAGGCAACACTTTCCATCTTCTGTCCTTCTATGTTTAAGTGCAATCTTTTAGGTGCATGCCTAATGTTTAAGTGACAATGTTTGCCTTCCCCAGATTGGCACTTCACAGCTTCTTGTACCCCTGGCTGTATCACCAGGGTACTACACTTTTAATTGTCATTAAGCTGCTGCAGCTTGCATAGATATTCTAATCCCCTTCAAGCCCTGTGTATCTAGGACGTGATTACAGCTGTTTATCATTGCTCCTGCAGAAGTATTCACAGAATCACAGAATGGTTCAGGTTGGCAGGGATCACGGGGGGATCATCTCACAGAATTGTAGAACATACTGATTGGAAGGCACCCACAGGGATCACCAAAGTCCAGCTTCTGGCCCTGCACATTTGTTCTTGTTTGGATGGAGTTTGTTTTGCCTTCCCTCTAAAAATTACCAGTATCTAGCAGAGGGAAATAAGGAATAAATGGAATGACTTTGGCATATAGCTAAATAGGTATTGTGAACAAGTGGTTTGGCCAATTAAAGGAACACTATCAAAGGTTTTGGCAAAAGCAGGGTTTAATATGAATTTGTGAAAACATGGCTTTACTGAGTTTGTTGGCAAGGCTCACTTGCTACACAGATTTAAAGCATACAAAGGAAGATTATATTAGAAAAAAATTGGAATGATTTATACTAAATTCAGGAATGCAAAGGGGGCAAGTGTGCCAAGATATGGATGCAAACATAAGGGTGCAAAAGAGTTTAGCAGCACTTAATGACTGAGTATTTTAACATTTACTAAGCAATCTCATAGGGTTCACTGCAGTTATAACAATGACCTGGCTGTAGGTGTGAGATAGGAACATTCCCACCATAATCCATTCCCATACACAGCTAAAGTGATGTGTGCACCTATTTCCATGTGTGTGCAGGTACCCATCGACCTAAGAGGGACCTACCGTGGGTTCAGTGAATAAATCACATCAAATCCCTTTGTGTGTCCCACCAAGCAGGGTTTAGACCTCATGGACTCTGGAAATGTGTGGGGGGGATCAGCCCAGGCTTTGCTGCCTGCCATGGTCCTTCCAGCGGGGCAGATGTGATGTGTGGGAGGTGCCCATGCAGAGGGAGGTGCTGGCACTGCTGCAGCTCTCCAGGAGAGCACAGCAGGGCCTCACTTCTGTGGGGTTTAACATGACTGACTTCACTGAGTCATCACTGAGTTTCCACCCTGGACACAACCCTGCAGTGTTGTATCCATTGATGAGATGTTGTTGTACGTAATTGTACTCAAAGGGAACCAAGGGAGTAAGATTACCTCAGAGAAAGTTATGTACTAAAGGTATTTTACCTTAGAGAATGTTTGTATTATGTGACAAGGCTGATTCTTTTTTATATGATATTAGTTTGCTTTTGAAACAGAAAGTATTGTATAATTTAGTTGTAAAATTGCTAACTGAATAAGATAGTAGTGGAGCAGGTTTTCTTGGTTTTGTTTTTTTTTTTAAACTGAGTTTGTAGAACTGAAAGAGCTGAAATATAAATGAATCTGGAAATCTAAGAGGCTGAATATATGTTGACAGGTACCAAGTGATTATAATAGTTATGTTTTCACAAATATACATCGTTAGAGAATTTCTTTTTACTGTATCAATTATTTGTTACTGCAGTTGACAACTTCTCATTGTTTCCTGTGCTGCATAAGCAATGCCATTGATTAAAGACTTTGCATATTGGCCATAACTCTTCAAGTTTTGAACTTTAGTAAGTTTTACTATTCAAGGGGTGCTATAAAGACTGTAAGTTTATCTTTTTATGTAGCATATGGGACAGGAGGTTAAACAAAAAGGCTAGCAGATGATAAGGTGGAGATGGCTGAAGAAATTTAACAGGAGACAGAAAAGCTCTCACATCTGTCAGAGGAGCAGTTAGCTGACCAAACATCAATTACTTCTGGAAATGAGAGAGAAATAACTGAAGGATTGGAACCAGAAGGTAGAATTCATCTTTATGAATAAGTAACTGTATTTTGTTAATAAATCTATGTCTCTTTCCATTTTCTTAAGCATTTCTTACTAGCAGTGGGAGCTGCCTCGTTATGAGAAGCTCCATGACAGAAATTATATTCTGGTGTACTTTATAGCTGAAGCTGGGTAGTGGATATGGTGGTGTTATTTTCTTCCCAAATGGAAACTGTATCATAATTGAATGCAAAAATCTGGTATCTGACCTAGATTCATAAAATATTAAGGGAAACCTGGCTTCTATTTTAAATGTCTTTATATTCTCCCTTAGAACTATGCTGTTCTAAAGACCATTTTAATGAATATGCTCCTTTTGTCTGCAGATAACAGCCAATGCTGGTATTGGAAATCCTTTCAGACAGAGAGAGGGGTAGTATGTCTTATCATATTCGTGACTTAAAGTTGTTAGAGGGAGATTTATTTAAAGATTGTAAAAGGCAGGTCATCCTGTTCCACCTCTGAGCTTAAACTGTTTATCATTGAAATAAACCAAGTCCACAATACCAAGTTTACAGTAAAAGCACAAACAGAATGCTAAAATTTCATGTTCATTTGTTTGCAGCTTCTGTGTAAGAACACATTAGAAAAATTGGAAAAATATGATGTTGAATCCCTGTTGTGTTTATAAGTAATTTGCTTCAGAGAAGAAAAACCCAAAATGCTCTGAAATAATCCACCTGCATACAGAACTATTTTTTTCTTTAAAAAAAGGATAAATTATTCTTTATGTGTGCCTGGTGTTAAGCATAGTCAGAGGAAATCCACAAATTCAGGCCATAATCCTGTATAAAGCTAACAGTTGTTCATACCTCAATTCATCACAGGACTTCTATCATTCCAGTCCTCAACTTTCATCTGGGAAGCACTACTTTTTTATTTTTACAAACCAGAAAAAAATACAGTTTAGATGACTATAAAGGTCATTGATTTGCAGGGTTAATCTTCTGCAAGGAAGAGAAGATTTGCCTGGCGCTTATTCTTCATTTGTTAGTAAAGCACCTCTATTGCTATCAGGCTCCTCAGCAGAGCTCAGATGGGCTACAGTAAAGGGGTTTAACCACATTGATTCTTCCAGTGTTTTTCACATCAAGGTGATTGTGCTCTTGAAGCAATAAAATCTGACAGAAATGACTGTATTATTTCAAGTCCATTGTCCAGTAATATTAAACAGCTGAGTCAGAATGTATATGGCAATTATTTGGCCAGACTAAAAAATATTTTAAACCTAATGCTGTCTAGGAGTAGCTTTGCTGTATCTAACATCAGTTTTCAGTAAAGTTATATATGTACAGTATCAAATCACTTCAGTGTACTTCTTTTTCTATTATTATTTGTGGGCAAGTGCACTAATCATGTTCTCTTGACTTATTCTTAAAACCAGCAATTAATTACCACAAAGACATATATAAAAATAAGATGACATTAATACAAATTTGGAAAATTTTCTTTGAACGTTAGTTCAGTAGGAAAGTTCTGGGAAAAAAAAAAGAATATTTCATACTTTTTGATCTAACCTTGACTGAACAATGCTAAAAAATATAAAACTAATAAGTAAAATTGATGACAGTGCTTCTAACAGTTAATACTTCTCTGATCTGTCTCAGCCTTCTTTTAAAGGACCAGGGCTGTACTGTTAGATCCTATCAGATTTCATGGTTTGTTATGTTCTGCAGTGTGATATCCTAGAGGTAGCTTGATTTTTTTAAATGCTCTTTTCAAGGCTGTGAAACATCCTACAAAGCAACTAGCAACAAGAAGCAATTCTTTGTATGAGAAATATAGCTGTTCTTTGTTTAAGCTGTAGAAGAGGTTTAGAAATGCAATCACTCATATATTCTTCATAAAACTGCAGAGAGTACTTTTGAAGGTGGAATTGCATTGCTTATATGTATAATGTTAAAAACAATGTCACCTGTAGTTTTGAGAACTAAAATTAGTGCTACTTATCTCTATTAAGTCAAAATATAATACACTTGTTCTGTAATTTTCTAGTCATGCATTTTATTTTATCACAATCATTTAAGAGCACTTCTGTGAGAACTTTGTGTGTAGATCCATTTCAGGTTCATCAATTTCTACCTTTCCCCATTGATCTGTTCTTGTGGTAACAAAGATTCATGTTCATGAAGGGTAGATGAAACAATAAAACATCTGAACTATTAAGACAACAAGTATATTTGATACAGATTGGATTTTAAAAATATGCATTGGTTTGTATGAATTCTTGGGTTAATTTTGGAATGCAGCATGTCAAAATTGTTACTGAATTTGTATTTTTTTAAGATCAAAAATCACTGCTTTTTATCTTTTGAGATAAATATCCTGCTGGTAATCAAACACTGTAAATAAAACTTGTGATTTTTGGAGATCGTTATGCTAATTATCCCCTAGATCTGAGTTGTATGCCAAACTGTTTAAGCCATTTAAGATCACACTGAGGTTTTCTGGCATGTTGCAAATTAGACAGTTCATGGTTATTTCTTAGATATGTTGATCACAAAGGGTATCTAACAGATTTTCCACTACTTAACTGTACCACTTGCTTCTTTCTCTTTTCTTCTTGTCTATGATGTATGATTAATCATAGATTACTTCATTTTGTTTCATTTCATTTACAACATTTATGAGCTTCACTTTGTCGGTATGAAATGCTTGTCCCCTTCTTTCCTTTCCAAAGTGGCATAATTAGTGTTAGCATCTTTTTTAACAGGCTACATAAAGTTTAGTGGCTGGATTAAATCAAGTCATTAACATAATGTGCTATACAATTTGCCCCTATCTCTTTTCGTTTCCAGTACATCAAAGTGCCACAGAGTGCCAGTGTAATTGGGCCTTGCTAGCTTGTCAGGTTCAGTCAGGCTGATGGCTGCTGCTTCTACTAAAAAGCTTCCAGGCATGATAATTAATAGAGAAAAGAAGTCTAAGAAATGTAAAAGTTTGGACAGTTCTCTATGAATATTTCATACATTTGAATAATCAGAAGTTAACATTATCAATTTGATGTATAATACATTGATTAAAAGCCTTGTTTCAGATCCTCAAAATAGACATCAAAACTGGGAATTTGCATTTTCTTTGGCATGGTCTTTATATTAAAAAAAATAAATTAAAAAAATCTTTTCTCTTCCATCCCCTCCTCCTTTACACTCCCACATCTACACCAAACCCTTTCAGGAAATTATATAGCATTCAGTTTTCACAATAAGATTTACTGCTGTCACCTTCCAAGTTGTCTTAAAATGTGCCATGAGGCAATTACTGGCATGCCCAATTTGTTTGGTAGTGGTTCTGGTTTTTTCTCTCTTTTTTCTTGCCGATGCCATAAGTGCATTCTCTTGCTCTAAGATCTCAAGTTGTAACTAATTTTGACATGAAAATCTTTCTTAAACAGCAAAAAAGTGCAAAAATACCAAGTGCTCATGGTTCTCCTGGTGAAGAGCACAAGCTTATGCTAAGGTGAGAAGCTGTAAAGCTTCAAGTGTATGTATAGCAAGGCAATAAAAACTATTCCTTTTATTATGGGTTTTTTGGGTACAATTACTTGAATAGTGTATTTCCACCTATGTGCTAGCTGTATTAATTTAAAAAAGGAAATTACTTGGATATTGTATTGCAGTTTTAAATTTTGGCTAATATGATTCCTCTTTACACTTATTTTCTGCAGGACCTGAATGTCTTTAGTGTAATTCAGGGAGATATTTGAGTGTTCAATTTTTTTTTCTCAACTTGGCTTGTTTTGTGAATTTAATCTGAATTTAGAGAATTAAATTTCAGGGTTTTAGTGTTACTCTGTGTTACTGAGTTGGCTCAATTCTAACATGCCAGAAATACTAACTTTGTATTCTCCTACTCCTGTATAGAACTAACCTCTGTTGCTTTGTGGTTTTCTTCTGTAAGAAATTGGGGAATTAAAAGTGCTGCACCAGTGTATTTAATAAAACAAGAAATA